ACTTTTCCATTTTTAGATGGTCTTTTGACTAATAACAACGGAGTTCTTCATTGTTTTGCTTGAATTGTGCAATACGTGCTTCGACTTGAGAATGTCGAGCTGTCGGTTGTTTCATGTATTCTTTGCGTAATTCAAAAAATTGTTCTTCGTTATCGATTAATGGTAAGATTGAATCGGGTGAAATATAATTACCAAAGATTTTTCGAAATTGCTTGTCAATATATCTGGTCGGATAACTAAAATAGGACATCAATGGAATGATTTCAGTAACTGTATTATCATAGAAATACAAGACTCACCCATTAAATAATAACATAAATCGAACAGCACGTCGTTCATTATTAAATGCTTCGAATGTCGATGAATATCGAATTGCTCGAACAAGAGCCGTTTGTATAATATTTGGAAATGTATGTCGTGGATGATCCGAAAGGAATGGAACGACATATGGTTCAGTCGAAGGTTTATGATAAACGGATGTATGAAGAACTCCGTTGTTATTAGTCAAAAGAACATCTAAAAATGGAACAGTACTTCCAATGTTCGATTCTAATTTAATATTCGGATGCCATCCATTCGCATCCTGTAATAATTGTCGAACTATTTCGATGGATTCATTCGATGTAAAGAAGACATCATCGATATATCTAGAATCATAAATAGAAATAATCGAACATATATTTTGAGATATTTAGATTTCACGTACCGGCCATAGATTTCTTCCATACTGTTTTGTCGTCGAATCCAACGTTTTCCCCAATGGCACATAAATATATTGGCTAGAGTTAATGTAAACGGTGAACCCATCGCACCACCAATAATCTGTTTATAGAATTTATGATCGTAGATAAAATTGTTTTCTTTCAAAACAATTTCGGCTAATTTTTGAATGGTCGCAACCGAGATATTTTTAACTCTTTCACCAACAAAGTGGCGAAGAAAATCGCCTAGAATTCGAATGGATTCATCTTGTGGCGGCATGGTATATAAGTTATTAATATCAAAAGTACAGAAAAGAGTCGACGGTTTAAGATGACCATCAGCAGCATATTTTTCCAAACGCTTGATAAGTTTCACACCATCAATGATTGTATTATCTTTATTATATTGATCGTAGATAGGTCGAATCAATTCATCTAAGAAATCGGAGATAGGTCTGGTTACTGCTTTAATGGTATTCAGAATGGGTCGTAATGGTGTTCCTTCCTAAACAACAATAAAAGAAAGAAAATTACATATTTAATGCAACATTAGTTGACAAATTATCAAAGAAGAATAGTAACCTTGTGTGGTTTAGGATTAAAATACATGTAAGACAATCTGATGAGATCCGATTTTGGCATTAGGCGATTATACTCTTTGAGTGCCAATTGCTTGTTATTCTTGAGAACATTGAGCGCATTTGTTACATTAGTTAATGTTTTCATCAGTGGATTGTATGATAATTCTTGATAGGCTTTTGTATCTTCTCGATATTTTGCTGCTTTTCTTTCATAATCACTTTTATTCCCAATATGTAAGCCGCCACCTCTATCACAAACCCGTATAATATGTTTTGCTTTTTGTGCTTTTCGTCGAATAGACTTTACTAATTTGAATTCTCGTTGAGCACGCATGCGATCAACATAGGATAATGGAGTCATATAATGTTGTCGTAGTAGTTTTTCAACTAATTCACAATAGTGTTTCATCCTTGCTATTGGCGGTTCTCTGTTACAATAGTTCTTCAATTGACGTTTAACTTTCGTATTGATATCTTTGAGATGATGTTGTATTTGAGTTTCACGATGTTTTATTGGACGTAGTGCACTTGGATTTGGTCGAACATAGTTTGGACCTACAAAATACAGCAATCCATGGAACTATCAACATATAATGGTTGCCATTGGCGTTGATTCGTATGCTTACCTATAGACAAATGAGATAATTCTTCAGTATTATACGGACAATCAAGAACATCAATAGTCACTTCAGGTGATACACCGACCATTTTCTTGGCTGATGAAGAACGTTGATAGCGCTGTGAAATTATCTGTCGAAAATGACTTAGTTTATGAAATATATTATCGATAATTCGATTGGTATGATGTAACATAAAAGCTTTCAAATAGTCGATCAGAGACATTCCATTAATTTGAATCGTAGTAGAACAATGTAATTCAAATGCATTCAAACTTTGTTCATATTGTTGTTTATATTCATTGAATTTATATTCATAAGCAGCATAAAAAAGATTCAGTAAATTACGTTTTCCTCGCTTTAAAACAGTACGACGTTTTGTTCGAATATCGACTACCGTGCGATCAGCAATCGGTGGCCAATAAAAATCAGGTGCAGTAATCTTTTCAAATTGATCAAAGTTTGGTGGTAGAAATTGATGAAGAATACGTTGTCCCAACATAATAAATTCTTTATAAACTTGCAATTGTTCTTTTCTTATCTGAATGATTTCTTCAAGTGCACGTCGTTGAACGTTTGTGAAATTGTAAGTAAGCAAATCTAGATAGAGTTGTTGATCACGAATATCATCCTTAAATGTCCTTATTTGATGATCTATACGGTCAACTAAATAGTTTTCTTGTAAAGAAACAAAATTTTTCAAACTTCTGTCCAACAAATCTAAGGATGACAATAGAATAGGTATCGATGATTGCACTTGTTTATACAATTTCATATTGTACTGCTCTAATTGATCGTCAATTATAGCTAACTGTGTCATAATATAATTTCCACATAGGTCTGGTTGATTGTTCTTGGCCATTTCATACAATGAACACTTGACATAAAATAAATAAACGAAAATTTTATTCACATTCAGAGTTATTATTAACGTAAAAACTTACAGGCCATAACTTTTCTTGAAGACCAACCTCTAAATACGATTCCCATAGACGTTGATCGAGCTCGAGACGATATTGCCGGTCTAATAATTGTAGACGTACATGAATAAAAATTTGTTCATCTTTTTTATTCAAGGAACGATTGAATTCATGACGTAATGCTTGAAAAATGAGATGTGGTGAATGAGTTAAATAGGCCGGTTTTCTATATATAGACGAGAGATAGATCAAATGAAATAAAAAGATAGTCAAAGTTACTTACGGATAGTTTTTATTCACACTAATACTATCTGGTGGTATAGATTGTATAAAAATGATTTTTTTCATTTTTTTGGCTGCTGATGGTCGAAGATTGCGTTCACTTGTCGATGGAACAAAATGACGATGAAGTTCAAAAGATGAAATATCTCTTTTACGTTTATTTGTCGTTGTAGTACGTTTTTGTTGATTGTTGTTCAATCCATGTCTATCCTAGATACAATCATAAATATTCAACAATATAATAGGTTCAACGGTTGGTGATCATTACTTACTGGTATTGATACAGTTGTGACCATAGTTTCTGTTTGAGGAGTTGTTGTTGAAGTAGTGACATTCTTCGATTTTTTTAACTTTTGCTTTTCTTTTGCCTGTTCCCGATTTTCAATCATTTTCGTAATTGCTGCTTCACTCATACCACGAGCACGTCGTCGGCGACAGAATCGTTGTAATTTTTTATTGCCATGACGTTGTTTTCGTCGATTTTCTCGATTTGGTTGTGGTGGTGGTAATGATCGATCGATGACTGAACGTGATTGAGATGACAATGGACCAGATGAAATACCTGTGCTATCCTTGTCACCGACATTCATGTTTCAAAGATAATATTGTGGAATATGAAAATCTAAAACAAAAAAAAGGACAAAACATAACAGGTCAGCAATAGATCTTCAACTAGGATAACACGAAGAATGAGGATGAGAACTAAAGCAAGAAAAAAAATCAAATAGTTCAATGACTATGATTGAATAGAAAGAGTTTGAAGTTTAAAATGATGAATACATTTGAGTCGTTCTTCAATAATATGAGTACATTGTTCGATCAATTCAATCATTTTCATAGTTAAGTTTTGTTCATAGAGAAGAAAACGTTGATCTTGCCGCATTTCTTTTTTGTTATCATTGTATTGATTTTGATAACGTTTCTTTTGTTCGCTAGCTGATTGAGTATAGAGAGTCAACATATCCGTTTTGGTTTCTTCTATCACTTGCCTATATTGAGCATAGAATTGTTGTTGTATATCAATATTACGAATCGAATCAAATAAAGGAACATGAGCAATAGGTAGATGATCGAAATTAAACGAAGACATATAATGAGTAATTTGTTTTTCGAGAAGTTCCAATGTACATTTAGTCAGTTCCTGTTGTTGCTTAGCAGTACAAAATTCTTCTGCTAATTGTATCTAATTAAAGAGGAAAAAAAACAGTAGAAAGATAGATTCACCATAGATTATCGATGATTTTACTTGAGCTTCAGTTGGATTCTGTTTAAGATAGTCCAGTTGCAAGATTCGCTCATCAAAATCATATTGTACGAGTTGTATTTTATATTCGATTTTCTTACGTAGACAAATAAGATTATCTTCGATGAATTTTTCAATGGCTTGTTGTATTATGATTGAGTTAGGAGGCAAACAAATTTTTTGAATCTGTAGATCAGCATAAGATTTTAGTCTAGCTTTATTTAAATCATCTAGACGCCTTTCGACATAGGCCAAACAAGCTTGATGTTCTTCAGTTCCTGAACGCACAGTCACTTTAACCATAGATTGAACAGGTTTTACCCATAATTGTGGACCTGGTTCATTGCGAGTATAATGAGATTTCAATTGACCTAAGCCCGATTGTAAATACACTTTCCAAAGAGAATATAAAATCTCTATGTACTTGATTCGATGAATCAAAATAGCTATTGCCCGATAATTGTCGAGTTTATTCGGTGATAATGTAGCTGTTGCTGTATTTCTTACCAGTACTGTAGTCAGCATATTTTCAAATGATTTGTCACTTTTCATAAGATACTTGGGAATTTGTTTTAACCCGTCTATTTCAACTTTTTTTGGTACTTTCTTGTTAGATTCTTTCTTCTGTTCATTGTTTACAGACGTCGACAATTGACTCAATTTTTGTGATAGAGCATGCTCTTCGATAGACTAGCAAAAAAAACAGAACAAGATATCAATCAAAGTAACTCCTTAGAATATACCTTAGTTCTGTTGGATGTTGAAGAATTTTTCATTGCCGCTACCAATAGTTCGTCATCTATTTCCATATTGTCCATATCGCTGTTGTCTTCATTATCATCACTGATCGCATCTAAGTCATCTTCTATCGGTCGTTCTGCAACATAAATACTATCTATATCATAATCTTGCTTCACAATATTATTGTCGTCTTCATCATCCTCATTAACAAAATTGTCATCATGTAAACCACGATCATTCAAAATATTCGTAGTACTAGCATAAAAATTTCCATACTACAAGATAAACAAATAGAATGAGATCAAGATGATTATTTTAATATTAAATGTTTCTTACTATTTGCCTATGTGTATTGCCATTTTCATTGATATTTGTTTTGAAATTAGTTGATGATCTTGCCATGAGATTCAGTCTACGAAAAAATGATAAGCAATCTAAAATTTAACAGATATTTGAAAAGTTATCAAATAATAATAAAACAAAATATAAAGAATGGAAATAATAATCTAGGAATGATCGATGTTCAACTTTTATTGATACGAGTCACTTTTGAATGTATACATGTCTTTAGAATTGTTAATACGAGGATAGTGGCTAAATGTTGTCCATAGAAGTGGCATTGAAATCATTTCTTTATCGTATTTCTTTTTGTTGTCTACGACGAAAGTTTATATAAGAATATTATATTTATCTGAAAGAAAAAGAGAACAAATAGTATATAGATTGTTGTACTAGACTAAATTGAATAAATATTGATTTTTGGAAATAAAATGAATTTAATTTTTGTTTTCAACAAGTAAAACTACAGTTAAATACAATAAAAATCAGAGGTTCTTTTTTGATACCTGCAATTTGATGCGTTCTATCTATGTATTATCCTTTCGTTTTTCTTCATCGTCATTGATGGATATTATCTTTACTTATAATTCGATATAGAAGCATAATTTTTTGAAAGAATATAACATGAAATTTAATGTTGACGTTGTCTTTATTGATAGTATGAATGTTTGCATTGGTGTTGAACAATTTTTCGACAACGTTTGAGTTTCAATCTTTTTTCTCGTTGATGATACTTGATAACATGCTGACGAAGATGATCATAAAGAGACTGATCATAGAATTTCTCACCACCGTGAACATTCATTTGTGACACACCAAACTCTTCAAGAAATAATTGAATTTGATCAATGATAAAATCATTAGAGAATCGATTGTATTGAAAAGACAATTGAATATCTTCGAGTTCATTAACGAAATCAAACACATATGTATAACAGCGTGTAGCACGTAGAAGAGCTACTCGAATTAAACTATGATATTTGTGTCGTGAATGACCAACGACATAAGGTAATGCATAAGGTTCTGTATTTAATTGATGAACTACTTGTATTTTAAGATTGCCATCTAGATGACAAATGTTAAGATCGAGATAATTGACATCATTACTGATAAATATCGTGATTGGAATATTCAGTACTTGCCGATTGAGTGTTTGAAGTATATCATGAAGTCGCTGTTCAGAATCATTCCATGTCAAGAATATTTCATCGAAACATCTATATATAGTCGTATTAGTACAATAATGAGAGAAAAATGAAACACTTTAAGAAATAAATATTCTTACCTGCCAAAGATTTCATTTTTATTGTGTAAATTACGCACTAAATCTTGTTGCCAATAAAATATGTAGATGTTCGCTAATAGTATCGTCAATGGTGAATTCGAAATACCTCCTTGAATTTGTTGATAGAGTCTGTTTTCATATATGATACATTGATTTTCAAGAACGAGTTGTACAAGATCCATAATTGTTGTTACCGTTATACCTTCGATTTTTTTCTCTAATACATATTCATCAAGAAAACGTTTCAATGCATCTATAGTTTGGCCATGTGGAACGATAGTAGATAGATCATGAATGTGTAAAGTAGTAAATAATGTGTTGAATCGAAGAAGACCTTTCCTAGTATACTTTTCTACAGCATCAATAACATCCGCATCTGTGTTGAATGTATTTGAATAAGTCACTAGATTGTATATGGGTTGAAGAAGACGACTAAGAAACTTAGATGTATTCATAGTTAAGTGATGATGACAACGTACCATTGGATGAAATGAAACTTTAACCTATTTTATATAAATGAAAAGAAACAAATAAAAATAAAAATAGGTCAATCACATACACACACACACACACACACACACATACACACACACACACACACACACACACACACACACACACACACACACACACACGTTTATCTGAACCTACTTGACGTGTATCAGGTAAAAAGTAGAGAGTATTAAGTTGACTATTCGATTGATTGATAGTCATCTGTTCCCATTGTGAATAGGTGATCAATTTATTATGTAAAAAACCATTCAATTTTTTCATTATTTCATTATTGATCTTCTTCAAAAATTCTTCCAAAGAATATGGATTTGTTTGATCAAGTTCCATTATCAAACGATAGGCACCTGTACGAGTCATATGTTCATGTACTTTCTGTTGCATATCAGTCAATTCACATGAATAATAAGCACAGATATTATAGGTAGGTAATAAAATACGATTGTTTGCTTGTAATTGTTGTCGAATAATGTTAAGGTATTTTTTTCGCGTAATTTGATACAATGGTCGACGTTCATTTATTTCATCGCCAGATAGATTGATGATTTTCTCAATGTTGTCGTCCTTGTCATTCATTTTATCCATCCATGGAACGACGATATCAATAGCTTGATTAATTTGATCAACCATTGTGTAGTCAAGTAAAATCAGAGGGTGATAACAGAGAAATTATATCTGAAACAAAAAAGAAAAAAGAAAGGAACATTAAATCTATAATCTAGTGTTAATCCAATGAAATAAATATGACAAAAAAAATTTGAAAAAAAGGCAAAGAACAATTTATTGTACAATTGTTTTTCGTTTTCGTTCTATGGCAAATGAAGTATTTTTGTTTAGTTGTCGACACCTAGAACAAATAGTTTATTCAGTCAATGATGATGACACAAATTCATCGATACATACTGTTATATTCATTACTTTTTTCAATTGGTGAAGTTAACCGTTTTCGGCATGGTTTTTGGTTCGTGAGATACTTTGTCATTGATGAAAGAATATTATTGATTGCATCTGTTTCTATGTCGATCACATTTTCATTGAATTGTGGTTCAAATAGAAAACATTTTTTCAATAGACCAAAAAGTTGACACTTGAAATAATCCATGATTGACAAATCTGCATCCAAATTTGGATAAGAAAGAGATGGCATCATTTCTATTTCCTGAGACCATTTGTTTTTCACGATGACTAATTGTGCATGACGTTTCATCACTCGTCGACGTAGAGTTTCATATGGAACTCTATCAACAAAATAATTGACTTCACAGGCATAAAATTGCTTGTAAAATTGTTCAATACAATTATCAATAAAATTTTCTGAGAAACCATATAAAAGATAGACAAGTTTGAGATAACGTCGTTCGTATTCAAAACTCTGTTCATTGGAACAACATCGTACAACATACATTAACATAGATTGTAATAATCGAGATGGTAAACATGATGATCTTTCCGCTTGAAATTGATTTGGTAATTGGTATTGATCCATAACAGGATCATGATAAATTCGCGTATGAAGATGACCTTGATCATGAGATAATTCCACATCAAGAAAATGAAATGATGTTCCAATGAATGGTTTTAACTGAATAGATTGATCATCTCGATCGACAACGATAGGTTTTCCAAATAAGAAACGAAGTTGATCTTCTGATCTATTCCATGTAAGAAATAGATTATCTTGAAATCTATCGAAATGTCATAAATATAATTATTGAATAAGTCAACAAAAAGAAACATTATAATTTTAATGATTACCTTCCGAATAATTCTTGTTGCTTCTGAGCCATCAGTACAGACATCAATGCTGGTTGTGCATAACATAGATAAATACAAGCTAATGGAATGGTCAATGGACAACCAGAACCATTACCCCTAGTTTGTTCAAACAGACAATTTTCATAGAGTACCATTTGATTTTCTAATACAAGACGTACTAATTGAACAATAGTTTCAATAGTTAATTCTTCTTCGTCCATTGACACTTGAGTACCATAAATCAATAGAAAATGTTCCAATGCCTTGATCATAATTTCATGTGAAAAAATCATACAAATTTCATGAATATTAAAAGTGACAAATAGAGTTGTCGATTGTAGATAATTATTTCTTGCATATGATTCGAAATTTTCAATAACATCAATACCATTACGAAATGTTCTGCAACCAGTTAGTTGATGAAATAGGGACCAAAGTAAATTACACAGATAACGTGAAATACGCATTGTTGGCCCCTTATTACAAACTACTACAGGTCGAATTGTATAGATATCAGTCTTGTTAAATTTAAATATAGTAGTATTGAAGAATAATAAATGAGCAAAAATAAAAAGAATGACAATGAAAACATACCTTTACTGGAGTATTTAAGGCAAAAATTAAATAATTTAATTCCACTTCTGAATGACTTATTCGCATCTGATCATATTGTCGTTGAGTAATACAATTGGAACAAAATAAATCATCCAATTTCGTTTGGATTTGTTTGACAATGTTTAATAAAAATTTATCATGTTCAATTAGTTCAATTGTATCCATGTTTTGAATGAATTGGTAAATATCCGTTGATTTCATATAATCAGAACATAGTAATTCGAAATCATTTAATGGAAATATATGCAAAGAATAACCTTTGTAGGATGTTCGTAAAACATAATTCTCTTTCATAAAATAATCTCGTATATGTGAAATTCCTTGTTTCAAGTGTTCATTGATCTGATCGGTTGAGTCCATATGATCAATCAATTCTGAAAAGCCATTCAAATCAACATATTGAAGTAATTGACATTTTTCTTGATCAAAAGAGAATTCATTCTTATTATCATTGAAAGCATGTTCATTTAAGTCATGATTCCATCGTTCAGACATTTCGTATTCCTATTCAATTGGTTTAATTTAAAAATTATTTAAAAATTATCTAGAACATAAGACAAAAAAAACATTACAATGTCAAAGTGATCAAGACTACAATGAAGTTAATCATTGTATCCAGCACATCTATTGGAGCTTATCAATAAGTCCCTAATTATATTGAAATAGATTCTATATGATTTTGTTAGTTCATATACAGGGTAGATGACGAGGATACATGTGTGAGTGTAAGTGTGAGTGTGGATATTTTCATGTTAGTGTTGATGGGAGTATGCTGTAATATCGTCATAATTAATAAACCTACAAAAAATAATAAATAAAGAGTGAGTGTTTGTGGAATACTGTCTGATAACAGTTTCGAAGGTCCAATGTATTTTCTAGAACTATTCCGAGTTGCAGCTCTGGACAGAAGGCTAGCCTGATACAGAATTCTTCTCGCTTAATCATTTACGCTTCTAAGACACACTAACTAACTACATACGAGTCATAGGAGTTGTTTGTGTATGTCACATGTAATCAGTGTGCTATCGGCTTGGTGACTTGAGACAGGGTGTGGGTGTGGGTGTGTTTATAGTAGAGAAACTACTTCTCCAATATGAAATGTTTCAAGGAATGTCATACGACATGTTTCGATTCTTTTCCACAAGAATGTGCTGTGATGTATGTGGTTGTTAGTGTCAGTAGTGTGAAAGTTGAAACTTGAATGTTTAATTATTGAGAAAATGTTTGAAGTATTTAAATAATGGTAATATTTAGGCCCTTTTCGTAGCCAGTCGCTTTGCGGCACCCACACTATATGCTGTGATGTATGTGGTTGTTAATGTCAGTAGTGTGAAAGTTGAAACTTGAATGTGTAATTATTGAAAAAATGTTTGAAGTATTTAAATAATGGTAATATTTAGGTCCTTTTCGTAGCCAGTCCCTTTGTGGCACCCACACTATATGCTGTGATGTGTATGCGTGTTAATGCGTTGCTCGTCTATTCCCTTAGTTCTTTATCTTCCATGTATAATTGAACTTAGGTTTCAAGTTGAACATCTATGTAATATGTAGATGTCTATATCTTAGAAGCATGTAGCGAATATACATTGACACCTATGGGAACGCCATTGTAATTTGTAAATTATCGAAACTAAATACATATCACTATCTTCCACCATCAACTTAATACTATACATAAACAGTCAGACTCAGCAAATCCTGTATTCGTAATTTATTTCCAAAATAGATATATCGAACTCATATATATATATATATGAAAAATATTGTTTCCTATCCATTGCATAACAAAAAAAAACTCGATCTTAAATGCTTCTCATATTTCCCTTCTTTCCTAACGCAAAGGAGAGAGATATGAATTGCAACATGATTAAAATTTACATGAACATTTTCGGGGTGTGTAATAGCTACCATAATCTAGATTTCATCTCGGCTAAGAGAATCGTCAGATGGCTTAGAATATTCTAAATGATTTTCGAAAAAATCACAAGAATT